AGGGGGGGACCGGCGGGAGACTAACGTGGCGGCCGGTGAGGGGGTTCGACAGGAACAGGTCGGAGTTGGTCGGGTTGAAAAGGGCCAGCCAGCCGTGTGAGGATCCCACGATTACGCTCGTCTCTAATTTCTCGTACCTTGATGATGTGCTGCCGCCGTCAAAGCTCAAGACTCTGTCGTGTCCCAGGCTGTATAAGTTGTGATTGACCATTCTGACAACGTCGAACGACGGCGGCAACATCATCCACGGCGGCGATTTCACAACCCTGCTCGGTGCGGCGGCGGCGGCGCTCATAGCACGAACGCCACGTCCCAAATTGGGATTTGAAGGCCTCAAGGTCCAAGTTAACAATCGGAAAGCGGAAGATAACATTGACAAAGTGACGCAGCAAACAAAAGTGATAAAAGTTAAAACTCAAAGATAACTGTATTTTATTTCATAAAAGCTGATCTATCAAGAAAGAGAGGAATAGATAGAATCCTTATTTCCCTAATTATCTAATTATATCTATCTTGTGTAACAAGAAAAAACTACATTAAGGTAAATTTTCAGATATCATCTAAATAATGCAAATAAATGTACTAATAATAATAATAGTAGAAATAAAAATTATATCATAAACGGGCCCAACATACTTCTCCGAGAAGGCGATCTCGTCTCCATCATTCTCCCCCGACTGAGAATGATTCATCCTCGAATTCGACCCAACCTCGTCTCCGCTAGAGTTATCACCAAGAAACGACACCCAAATGTTCGACGTTGAACACGTCAGAAGTGTGGATGTGCGACGAAAGACAAAGGCGGCAGACATTCGGATTGATCTTTTCCACAATCTCGTCCAGACCTATTTTTCGGGTGAACAGTTTATTATACTTGTAGGCCGAAAATAGATCCTTCGTCAATACTACCCAAACATAGCCACTCACCTCAAAATCCATGTTGCGACAACGAGAGCATCTGACTGACGCTTATATACTTCAGTCGCCCACAAATGCCAACAAATCTGTGGGACCACACTTGAGTGCACCGCATAGACCAACTGAAAAGGGGGAAAAAAAAGTGTGGCATGACTCACAGCCGAGTTATGCGCGAACTTGGCTTGACTGAGTCCTTGATCCCATACTCCTCAAGTTCTCGCCCACCTGAGAATGTAACAGTTTTCCAAGCGAACGATTAACGACATATGTCCGACCATCCGTCAGACCCGGCCCTGGACGTTACAAGAAAATGATAAAATTCTAACAAAAATCTATTCTAAAAGAATTATTCCAACGACAATTCCAACGGATATTTCAATGCTATTATTTCCGTTGGAATTTTTCAATGGATTCCAACGGAAATTCCAACAAAAATATTCCGTCAGAATGGGTTTTCCATTAGAATTTCCGTTGGATTTTGAGGATTATAACGCTGGATTTTCCAACGGGATGGAAAAAAAATTCCAACGGAATTTGCATTTTCCAACGGAATTTCCTACAGTAAAAAGTCGTTGGAAATATAGCCGTTGGAATCATCAAATTTCATCTAAAATTCCAATGAAAAACACATTCCAACGGAATATTTCCATTGAAATTTCTAGTGGAACCATTCCAACGGAATATCGGTTGGAATTTCCATTGGAATATATTACCATAGGATTTTCTGTTGGAATATAACAATTATTTTGTAGTGGGACTAGTTGGGCAAAAAAATGTTTTTTTTTTTTTTTTTTTTTTTTTT